ACATGGCAGGCAGGCTCTGAGAGTCAGACTCCCACCTGGCCTCTCTCAGAGTGCGGCCCTCTTCATCCTCCGGCGTCGTCCTCCGCGTCTTTCCACGCCGGCATGCCCGCAGGCGAGGCCTGGCCTTGGCCGGAGGACGCGTGAGATCCGACCCGACTTTGATCCATTTCAATCTGTCACTTCCCTCGCCTTGTTCGCCTCGTCCGCATCCGCCAGCCTCCACCGCCTCCGGTTCGCTCTCTCCAATCTCCCAGCTTCCTCCAAACTCCCGATTCTGGCCATTCTTGTTCTCGATGTCCCCCTCCCCCCCCTACTTATCGCCCCCAGCGCCCTATCCTCCGTTCCAGCTCTCGGCCCCGGCCCGTGTTCCCCGGCGCGGCTGCCCGTCCCGTCCGACCCTGCGGCATCCGAGGCTTTCCCAGTGCTCCTCCACCCAGTCAGCCAGCGTCGACGCCCTCAGGCTGTCAGCCCTGCACAAACAGACAGCAGCCCGCTTTGTTCCCGCCCCGTCCCGCTGATGGCTTTATCCGGTGCGCGGTGCGCGGCGTCCCACTAGTCTCAGACGCCTTATCGTCGCACATGTCTGTGCCCTGTCGGCCTCCGCAGTGCCGCCCAATCCATCCGGCTCGCCACCGCGTCTGCCTGCGGGTGCGGACGCCCTCCTGCCCTGCCCCTGTAAATCCCCACCCGTGCCCTGATCGATTCGATGAGATGCGTCGCGGAAGGTCTGCTGCCAAGCGACCCTCCGCGCCCCGGTCTCCCCACATCCACTTCGCCCGGACGACTGCGCCCTTTTCCATCAAAACGCGAGTCGCTAGCACACGTCTCAGACGCCCGGCCCATCACCACCGCCCGCAGCACAGCCGCCATGCCTGTCTCCCTCCACATCCTTCTGCCCCCCTGGTCAATGATCCTGCCCATGCCGACGTCCACGGACGATTCTCTCACGTGCTTCCCCAATGCCCCCAGTCATGTGCTCCTCTCGTCCACCTCTCCCGGCCCCATGCCCATGCAATCCAACAACACCCCCGCCGCGCTGCTTCTCGTCACCCCCAGAAGACAACAACATGCTCCTCTTACGGCAGGCTGCCAGCCCCAGACCCGTTAGCCCTCCCTGCCTCCGATGCGCTGATCATCAGGGCTCTCCATCGAGCGCCGCACTCACCTAGTGACTTCATTCTCAGACCAGCGGTACTCGCTCTCACGCGATAAAAATGACTTCGTCTTGATCCTCTGTCATCTGACCCTAGCATAGCACAACACCTTCCAATCCACGTCTCTTTTTTTTCTTCTTTGGTTTGCGGCATGCATTCTTATCCTCCGCATTGAATGGAATCGTTGAATCAGCCTCTCGAGCTGAAACCCGAAAGCAGAATCCACCACGCGGCTCGAACCTCGCGCAGCCACCGCGGGCCATCCTTGGCCCGCACGGATAAGCTACCGAAACGGGTAAAATGCGCCAGATAACCGCCTAGATCGACGTCGTGCCACGCGGCGCCGGGCCTGGCCCTGGCAGCCCTCAAGCTCAAGATAGCCTCCGGCGAACAGCACACGCGTCGGCCACGCGCCGGCGGCATATATATATTACGTAATACCCAACTTTGCGTGCTACCCGCGCCCGCGAGCACGCCGGGCCGGCGCACGGCCGGCACAGCAGCGCCGCTGCGCTGTCGCCGGTGGCAGAGTAGGAACACGAACACCAGCCAATCGCAGCCCGACCGCCGCGCACCGCCCCGTCCTCATCCTCGCGCTCCTCTGGGCAGACCCAGCCCGGCCGCACACAGCCAGCAGTCGAGACTCGAGAGCCTGCCCGAAAGCTGCCGCGCCCGCATCGCATATAAAATTGCCATCCGTCCTCCATCAGCTTTCACATGAACGTGGAGCGGCAGCAGTACCGCCCCCGGAGCTGCCTGTGCACAAAAAAAACCCGCTTCTCTTCTCGCCTTCTCGTAACCTGTCCACGCGCGCGCAGGTGCAAAATACAAGGCCGCTGAGAGACCCCGCCACGCCCTTGGCTCGGAGCGCAGAGCGAGCGACCAGATCGCGCGCGCACACACACGCGTTCTAGACGTCGCCCGGCCCTCCCTGCAGGAGACCAGGCCGGCGAAGATCTGCATTGGCATAGAGATTGTACGTACCGGCACCTCGCGGACGCTCGTCTTCATTAGCCCCCGTGCGGCGCGACTGGGCAACCGTCCCGGGAGTCGAACGGCCGAGACGCAGAAAATGGTGCTTGCTGTCTGCACTATCCGGTCCTTGGCGAGTCCCTGCCAGCCTTGCGATGGAGTGCGCACGGGTCACAACCCACATGGTCGTAGCGCGGGTCTGTCTGCGCACGGAGCTAGAGAGCGTTTTTTTTCCTCCTTCCACGAAAGATTTTCCAGCCTCCATCGACGGGCAGGAGGCGGGAGGCTGCCGTGATGGCCTGTCAGATAGGCTCTGCCGCATGGTGTTGTATCTATCGGAGGCGATGCGACCAAGAGGCGTCCAGTTTTCGCCGCAGTCGGTCAGCATAGCGCGTCCGTCGAGTCCAGCCTAGTTGCCAATCAGAGAGGCTCAAAGCCAGCGTCAGCCGGTTCCAGATTAGCACGCGCTGTGGATGGCACCCTTCGTGATGAGCGCGCGTCCTACCATTCTGTCTGCCGAGGATGCCAGAGGACCAGATGATTTAAGACCGAGTCGTCTGAGGCAGACAGCTGCGGCAGCAAGATAGCCGCCATCTAGACACAGGGAGGCGCACACAGAACCAGTAGACAGAGGACAGCGTAGCGGACAGGTAGCTCGAGAGACAGCTGCTGGCGCTTGCTCGTCGACAGCCATCCAGGGTCTCTATACGCGACGTGCAGCATGCATCTACGGACGGCCTTGACGCAGTGGGACATGGGGTAGACAGTCGACAGTCGTTCTAGCGGCCGAAATACCCGATTCTCGGTATTGGAACCCCAGCGTAGACTCGTACATTCTTCGGGATGGAGAGTCTAAAATTACCGGAGACGATGGGTAGCAGACATTCAGATGCAGATGCTCGTGCACCGTCTGTCAGCGACATACGACTCCAGACACACACAGCGACTCACCTATACACTGCCTGCATCCGACCGTCCAGGCGATCTCGCTCGTCGAATCTTCTCGTGGACTACAACACCTGCTTATTCTAGCAGCATCTCTCTGTGACTGGTGCGACTGGACCGCGGAATGCGCGCGGATCATATCTCTGGGCTGCTTTCGGTTGGGCAGCCTGTCCTGTCGCCGAAGAAAATGCAGAAATTCCAAGACGAAAAAGTCCGCGCGCCAGAGGACGTGGCAGGCGGGATGGCCCTGCGGCTCTTTCCGACGGGGTATCCTTTGCTTTAGGACACGGAGACCATCGGCTGTCACCAACGCGCGCGCGCCCCGCGGATATCAGCTATCTAAGCTCGCTGGAATAATTAGGAATCCTCCCCGGGAGGCCTCCCCGGCACGTGTGGGCTCGCCTTGTACTCTCCCCTCCCGGCCCACCGGTGAACACGGGCGCAGCGAACCTACGCACCTTCTTGTACTCGTGCGTGAACAGTCATCCCCACCCAGAGGAGCGAGCGCGTCCACATGATGCAGGTGAGTGCCGGCAGAAGGGTACGTTCTTGACAGATCGTGGTCTGCTCTCGTTATCCGCAGAGCACATGCGGAGGGAACGCGGTCGATACCTGTGGGAGGAGGACACGAAACACTGGAACACTGCGCGAGCTTCGCGACAGGAGGTCGTCCGGGATTGGACACGTCGAAAAGCGGGGATGACAACGAGCCTCGCCCGCATACGTATGAGGTCAGTGCAGACGGTGATGCGGTGTGAAAACGGGGTGCACGCTTGTTCAGTGCGTCGAACACGCCTCTGGTGCTTCGGCAGCATATTCGAACCGTTGGCCGGCAGTCGGCTGTGACGTTCGGGGTGCTCTGTAAGTGACCGTGGCCGCTACGCCGTTCAGGTAATGCTGATGCCATCCCATTGTGAACAAGAAGACTGACCTCGGCGATTGGAGAACTTGCGATAACATCTCAGGCCGGTCACATCTTCAGAGCAATGACAGCCTTCGTGTGTTCTTCAACGAATGCATATGCCTACTTCCCCGATGCGTCTCTGCAGATGAACAGCAGCTCCAGCGTCCGAAGCTACTAAGTATCTTCCAATGTCGTTTACTGACGAACGACAAAGACAAATAAACCCCTTTTCTCATGCTCTCCTGCCCATACTAGCGAGTCGACATCGCTAACAATGTCATTAGCAATGATTATCCCAGATGGCCTATCCAACCTATTTGCCAATTCATAAGCAGGACTACAGCACCGGAATGAGGTCAGCCGCGCAAACCTGAACGTAATTACCCCGAATAATCTGACAAGCGCCTCACGGTTCCGGTGAGATGGCAACTCGCAGGCAATTTGGCAATTACTGCAGCGCAACCGCCCTGGACAACACAGAGTGGCACGCGCTGACTGATCTGACTGGTTGCTGTCGAGACGTTTGCGGATACAACGGATCGCTATACAAGGGCAAGCGGGGAAGGCTTTTACGAAATTACGAATACCACGACGAAGTCGCCAACTTCTGCAAGATGGGCAAGATGCATTCCGGCACCCTCAGCCGTCCCGACCTTCCGTCAGTGCCCAGCCAATCCCCTTGTCACGCACCAACGCGAAGGGCATGTCGAATCAATGCGAACGTGTCATCGTCTGCTCAAGGGATCAATGATGTCGCGTACACTGTCCCCAACCGCAGAACGGTATGACCGCTGTCGTCGGCGGAGATCAAGCCTGAGGAGGGTGAGGTAGCGTCGTGTGCTGCGTTCCCGCGGAAGATGGATCAATTTTGTTATCGATCTCCAGCATGGAGCAGAAGGCTGCTGTTTGCGGATTGGGATAGTGTGGAGCTGCATAATTCAATGAGCAAGATGGACAGGCGGGCGCGTACAACACAGCGTCATGGACACTCACGTTGTTGCTTTCGGCTAGCGCCTTCCGAACCCGGAGGTGGAGCGCTCGTAATAAATGTTTGGCAATCGTCCACTTTTTTAATCCCTGACTCGGGGAGCACATGGCGTCTGACCCATTCCAGTTCCTTCTCGACTGCTTTCCTCGCTTCCGTCTCTGCAGGGTAAGACATTTGTAGTCGGTTGAGTGGCATATATGGATGGAAGGCACGAGTGATAGCAAGCCATTCGGGATCGAAGCTCAAAACAGGGAGATGGTTTCTTTCGTCTGGACGGAGATTCGATAGCATAGGTGATTCTGGAACATCGATTACTTCAAGAAATTGTCGTTTTGGTAAGCATTTGTCTAGCGCAATGAATTTAGTATTCTTCGGAGGTAGCGAAGCGGATGCTTCTCCTTCAGCCTCGACATCTGTATTGGCCTTCTCTTGACTCAAATGAGGGGGTTCCGCTTCAGCTGCTTTCGTATCTTCGGTGTCATCGTCTTCAATCGTGATTTCATCCGGGTTTGTCCCCTCCGCCGTTGTTGGCTCTGCTTGTCTGTTGTCTTGTGGTTGAGCACCGTGTCTTACATTGGCCTCAAAACGACAATGTAGATGAGCAGAAAACCACCAATCAGGTTGCAGTGTCTTCATCAAGCCCATGAGGGGTGGTGAGCCGAGGGAGCCCTTTTGAATGTCCTCGCGGAAGTATGGTTTTCGCCGTAACAAATCGCGTAGATTGCCATACTGCTCGATGGATCTAGGCCAATCGTGCGATAGAAAAACGGTGGGCGAGGAGAGCTGCAAACTCATCGTAAGCAAAGTTCGAAAGCTCTAATGCGAGCTGCAGTTATCTTACCAAGGACAACCTGCGGACGTTGAACTCGCGGATATGGTAGATGCTCCTCATCGATCCATGGTTGTACGGCAACCGTTCCCAATGACCTGCATACGGAAAGTCAAACTGCTGTACCTTGACAGCAGCGCAACATGATCCTACGCACCAAGTTGGAAATCTTGGTATTTGAATATACCAGATGCGCCTGCAATTCTAATGCCGTTTACTTGTACACATCCTGCATGCCCGAGGAAATATATGTTCGGCGCTAGCCATCCCCCGTGATACCTGATCCATTTGCACATATGGTGAGCAGAATGCAAGTCGCTGCAGGTCCGTAGCGACGCACAACTCCCACAGGTAATTTGACGATTCATGATTGCCTCCAATCACGATAGTGAGAATAGGTGCGCGCTTTTCCCCCGAATAATACCTGTAGGAAGACGATCGGTCAGTAGCAAGCTACGCTCCAGTCGATACTAGGCGGTCGTCGATGGAGCGGCCAGTAGACGAAGCGCCCACCTACTTGCAGAATCCACCTAATTCGCGGTACTTATCCGGCACAGCCATACATTGGAGGTCTCTCGCGTTTCGGATGGCCTGGAAATCGCCACATATGAGCAGGAGATCGACTTTGTAATCGTTTTGTTGTTCAAGCCGTGAGATTTCTGAGTAAATAGCGTCCAATGCGCCATGGCAGCAGCCTTCGATGGCAATCTTGTTGAAGAAATTTCATAGTTGTACTCGTAGACTCGTGTCATAAGCTCACCTTCATTGCCTGGACGGAAAGGTCAAGATATTATACAATTATGGGAGTCTGAGTAGGCTGCAGGGTGATTGTGACGGTCAGATACTGTAGGTCTGGCGTTCCCCGTTGTAACAAGAATAAGCAGATGGTCGAGCGGAAAGATGAACGACAACTCTTACATTCAAAGAGTTGTCCTGGACCATTGCGTCAAGTTCCTGAATCCTATACTTTTGAGAAATGATCACATGACTCCTCCCCTCCTCCGTCTGCGTAGACGCCCGCTTGCAATTCACTTTTGCATCAGCCACTTCGCTCGCAGCCCGGATGTTACGGACAATGTGAGTGTCTATTCACGTCACATTGGGAAGGATCTGATCTCATCACCGCAGAAAGCCAAAAAATGCTCGGTCGAAGAGGGTGCTGCAGGCACGTGAACCGAAAGAGGTCGAGGATCCTCGGACGGCAATTTTTGTGAAGGGCACACATTCTGGAGAAAAGGTAACGGGTGTCATGAAGGAACTCGTACGTGTGCTATATGTCCATAACTCGAGGTATCTCGTGCTTATTTTCTAACTCTTAGATGGCGCTCAAACGACCGAACGCTATCTCGTTTTCGAAGAAAAATGCCGTGCGACCGTTCGAAGATGCTTCTTCGCTTGAATTCTGGGCGCAGAAGAACGATGCAAGTCTATTTGTGGTGGGCCAAACTACTAAGAAACGTCCAGACGGTATGGTGCTTGTTCGCATGTATGACAATCGCGTCCTGGACATGTGCGAGCTCGGAGTAGAAAATTGGGTTAGCATGAACGAATTGAAGGTCCGTACGATAACTGTCCTGCATTAGTTCGGAAGCTCAGTGAGCAACAGACACCGAAGGCAACACCGGGCCATAAACCACTCATGCATTTTGCGTCCGAGTTGTTTGACACCCACCCGCGATTCATTCAGCTCAAATCAATGCTGATGGATTTCTTCAGCGGAGAAGTTCTGGACTCGATTTGTCTGGCAGGCTTGGAACATGTCATCAGCGTGTCTTTAGCACCAACACCCGCATCTATGAACTCCACGGCAGACAATTTGCAAGGATCGGCATCCAAGGCTTCGGAAGGAGCAGAGAGCTCACTTCCCAAAGTCCACGTGCGTGCATATACAATACGACTACTTGCGTCAGGAACACGGACGCCACGAGTCGAACTCACGCCGATGGGGCCCTCACTTGATCTTGTCTTGCGGCGGAATACCGAGCCCGATCCCGAGATATTGAAGCAAGCGATGAAACGGCCGAAACTGCGGAAGCAGGATGTGGAGAAGGGCTTGGGCAAGAAGCGCAAGAACATCGAGGTCGATGAGATGGGTGACGTGCGCGGACGAATTCATGTCGCGAAGCAGGACTTGGGACGGCTGCAGACGAGAAAGATGAAAGGCCTGAAGGGTGGGCAAGAGGAGAGCGACGACTCTGACGACGAAAGTGGGGACGAGGAGGCTGCCCAGTCTCGGAGAAGGAAGCGGAGGAAGGGGGAGTAGATTGTCAGTAAGAATAGTGTTATTATTACGCCCATGTCCTCTTCTCTTGCACTACACCGACTTTCGGATTTCGGCGGCTTTATAATTATATGCTGTGTGCTTACATAACAATTTTCCCGTCCGCAATTGTGAAGCTCTCTGCGTTGTCAGACTCGGGTCTATCGTCGACGCCTCCCTTGTCGCCGTCCATCGTGTCAAGCTCGCTTTTGATTGCTTCCTCTCCGCAGTCGAGCTCGCATTTGACGCCGCGCCTGAGGTCCTCTATCTGATCACTTGTCCTCACCCCACGCTCCTTTCTGACTTATAATTGTTGGTAATCAGCCATGTCGTGTATGTTCCAGAGAGGCCTGGTCGTTATCTTATGCTAAACACCCTCTTTGTAGTTTTAACTAAACTTGAGCCCAAGTACGCGCTCCCTCATCAATCAGTGCGATAATGGTTAACAATTCTCTGGCTATAGTAAAGCCTCTAGCTCTAGCATCGCCCCGTCCACCTCGTCTCCGACGACGAGCTCGGAGACTTCTCAGACGTCAACATCTTCGACGACATCGTCCTCGTCGTCGACATCGACGACGACCTCGAGCTCTTCTACTTCCAGCTCCTCCACTACCTCGCAGACCTCCACGTCGACGTCGACGTCGACGTCGACCTCTTCCTCGACTTCCAGTTCGACGAGTTCGACGACATCAACAACCACTTCATCTACAACCTCGCCCTCCAGTACTACAAGTCAAACGACTTCACCGACAACTTCGACCACTAATACAGCTACAACCACAACGTCTTCTCCCACGACGACGTCCTATTCGTCATCTTCGCTCACTACCTACACATCGCAATCGACCTCCGATGGGCAGATCGTGACCTATACCTCGACCGTTGCTGTGTATCCCACAACGAGTGCTAACAGTGATGCAAGCACCGGATCTTCGTGAGTCCTTATTTTGCTATCGCTGAGACCTCTGTATTTTCCGTATGATTACACATTTCCACGGACGAAGCGAAAGTGAACAAGCATATACAGTCCTTTTAAATTTCTCACCGGCTTCTGTGTCATCTGCCCCATCGAGCGCTTCCCCTTCGGGATTCCCGCCTCTTCGCCGAACCGAAGCTCTGTGCTGATATTTCATAACAGGTTCTGGAACAACAAGGGCGATGTTGCTGGTGTTTTCACTGTCGTCGGTGTGGTCGCTCTAGTTGTTCTCATAGCCATTATTACTGGGGCTGTTCGTAGGCGTCGCGCTAGGAAGTTCGATCGGGACGCTGCTGAAGCCGCCGCAGAGGCTGCTGCCAACACTCACGCCCCGGACTTTACCGATGATGACTATGGCTATCGTGACGATCGTAACCAGGACTTCGCAGAACGTGGTGGCTACTCCGATACCGCTAGTCATGGTACATTCAGTCAACCTCCTATGCAGCCAGGTGAAAGCTACAACATGAGCGAGCTCCCGCCATTTGATCCATACTTCTCTGCTGGTGCAGCAGGTGATCCTTACTCTGCAGCAGGTGCGGCGGGTATAGGTGCGGGTGTGAATCGTGCGCGAAGCTTAGGTCATACGAATACCTTCAACCCGTATACTGCTCCAACGCCGGTTTCCGTGCCAAACGCCTACCAGGATGGATCCCCTCCTCTTGGGGCGTACGGTGCGCCTCAGAATCAATACGGTGCCGCGATGGCATCTTCAGGCGTCAACAGCAATAGCGACCTCCTCGCTGCGGCGGGGATTGCGGGTGGGGCGGGCGGGGCTGCCGCTGGACTCGCGCGCGGACCTTCTCCAATCGCGTCTTCAGGACCCCAAGATACCCTCGCACGGAACAGGAGCTTGGGTGCGAACACGCTCATGAGCTCTGGATCTGAATATAGCACATCCGCTGCCACTCACCAGCAGTATGGCGCATATCCCTCTGCTACCCAGGGGCAGCCTGGCGCCCGACCCGTCTCCTTTGGCGACCCTACGTCGAATTCAACAGAGAGTCTACCAAATCCGTTCGGCTCAGCGGCACAACCTGGGGAGACTAGTCTTCTCGGAGCTACCTTCAGCTCGCCGGAAAATTCTGCGGACGAGCATGGGGCTGAGCTTGGTGGCGGAGCACCTCACAGCCCAGAGGAGAATCGTATGAGTCTGCGCGACGAGGACGATTATGGGTTCAATGGCGGCCGCAGAGTGCTGAAGGTACGTGGTCCTGCGGCTCGTTTGGTATAGGCCGAGTCAACTTAGTGTATACTTTAGGTTGCCAATGAGTGATCATTAGTAAGTTTCCTGGCCACTTTCGTTACGCAACTATCGGCGGTGACGTCCGATATTGTGGCACTGGACCATCGTACCCTGAAAATTTGCAATCTCTCCACTTGCTATTTATGTTTGATTGCTTTCGCTCCGCGAGTGATTGCTACCTACAGTTTCTACGCGCTGACAGTGATTTTGCCACTCAACTGCGCATCGCACCTTAGATTATCCTCTCATCTATTTCTCTTATGTTTTCATCGACGTACGCTACATTTGTTTTCACAGCTGCGTTAAATCTTGGACAATCCTTTCATTGCCATATGCGTTCATTTGGGTTGCTCTAGTGGGCCTTGTACAGTCTGCCGCTGAAGCGCTACAGATCGTTGAGGCATGTCTAATGTTGTGTCGGCGGTAGGCCTACGTGTCTGATAGTAAAAGCACAAGAAAATCAATAGCAATGTATCATTGATGTGTTGCTGATGTTTGCAGACTTCCTGTTGGATTTGAAGTGAGTTAGGGTTGTAAGGTAAAGCATCAAATGGTTCGCCGAAGAACAGAAGCGATTGCGTATTTTGGTTGAAATCATTTCGGGGAACAAGAGCACTTCGCTAAGGATTCACGTCACGGTGCATACATAGGTGACACTTTCTCGGTGAATTTCTGTCATGATGATTCATTGATCCGCCGAACATATCCCAAGGGAATACAATCATGTTGCGGAACCTAGTTTTACTGGTCATGACAGTACCGAACGCCGTGGCGAAATTTTCTAACCTCTTGTACTCCTGCGCTATTGTCTTTACACCTGTCAGCATAAAAGGTACCGATGGACAGCAGCTACTAAAAAGATACATATTCCTGCTCACTTGACAGAACTCTGTTGGACGCGCTGCCAGGAAGTCCTAGGTGCAGAGCACAGAACCAGAAGTAGAATGTTCAGTATGTCATATTGTTTCTTCTCCGACATGACCTACCTGTTTTGTAAAGCTTCGGATAGACTAGATGAAATGCTCGCGATGAGGCAATCTCAAGGGGTTGGCTGTGGTGGATGAGTTGCACTGCATCTTGCTCCCTAGGGCTATGGTTTCTGCACTGCAGATGTTGAACATGTGTCATGCTGGCAATATGTCCAATTTGCTGCACACTGAGGCGGAGGACGGCCGTTGGCAGACTGAATCAGCTCAGCCTGTTGGGTTTACTGAGCGCTCTCCGTATCAATTGCCAGCACAAGGGTAGATCGTCTGCAAGTCTAATCTCATTTATATAAGATTAAGTACTGCAACACGAGCAGGATGAGTAGAGTAGCAAGACGTTCGACGTTCAGAGTTCTGCACTACTATGTACTTACTGAAGGAAACGAGTGGCGAGAACTAAGTTGGAGCCAAGTCAATCCACACGCATGAAGGGTCCGAATAAGCTCGTTAGTACTCAGACTAGAGGTTGAATTCTAAAAAGCAAAGCTTCGCCAACAGTCATTTCACACAAAATGCAACACTGTCAAAAGCAGGTCGGGGGCCCCTCCCTCTTAAGCTCCTCTTGCCCAAGGCCAGGGGGCCGCAGCGGATCCCTGCCTGCCCGCTATCTCCTCGAATTCTGCAGCTCGTGTGTTTGACCCATGCAACGTATGATTACTCCCACCAATTGGGGCATTGCATTCTGGACATCGTGCTGCTTGCATCGCACCACCACACTGGTAACATTTGGCATTAGAACCAAACTCCCGCTATATCTCATATCGGGGACAGACCTCGGTAATGACAAATGTATGCCCGTTTTCACAGTTGTAGAAATGCCCTCTATGGGCTAAAAGAAAATCATGGGCACAGATGTCACTGAATATTCGCAGTGAAATGGAGAAAGCTCTCACAAAATTTGAAGGCCTTGACTATATCTTCACGTTCCTGTAATGAGAGAGGAAGATAAATCTTGTCGTTGAGTACAAACTTGGTTAGTTCATCGCAGTCGTCCCTCCATCGATGCACCTTGTGGCGACAGGTTTCATGGAACCATTTGCGTTCTGCTACTAGAGCCCGTAGCGTCGATGAAGGGCGACTGCGGATGTACTCCCTTTCTGCCTTCTCGACAAAGTTTAACATCTGGGTCTTCTGCTCCGTTATCTTATTCGCTAAAGCCTGTCTCGTTACTTCCGTCAGGTTTGCCATTCTATGCAACTCAGCGCGCTCCTCTATGAGTTGAGTGCGGAACAGTTCAAACTGCGAACGCAGGATATAGAGCATTGACCGAGCGGCTTGGCGTGAAGCGGATGACCTTTGAGCCATCAGAAGAGCCTTTTGTGCATCGGCGGTGCACGAAGCAAGTATGAAGTCTACAAAGGTGACCCACAATTGACGATGTTGCATCACCTTTTCGTCCTCGGACGTTAGGCGGAGACCCTCGATGCGACTCGTACCTATTTGTGCCAGCATGAAGCGCAGCTCGAGGGACAAGAGGTACGCGTCGATCTGAAACCGCGTATCGGCCTTGTGTGGCGGTTGTCCAATCTTGATATTCACTGCATCAAATGCGACCGGTTCGGGGGTGTCAGTCATACGTGTAGGATCCTTCGCGATCTCCTCTAGCTCTAAATGGTACAACGTCGTCAGCGCAGCTTCGTACGCTTTGACATGAGCCCCCCGGGTGTTCGCAACCTTCACGACTGATCGATAAGTCACCACGAGCTGTTTGACAATCTTGTACCACTGATACGCCTCTTCTCTGGCGAAACCGTGAACAGTTTGCATGGCGCCAGCTCCAAAAAGGGCCGGGTCAAGAGGCTCGTTAGATTTCCCTTCCGCCGATCGTGTAGCACACTCCAAGTCTGCATCGACACAGCTGGGTATTGCCTTCGCTGACTCTTGATAGTCCTTGATCGTTGAAGAAATACGTTCCATAGCAGGTGACGTGTCCTCTAGAGCACGCGACATGCTACTCGCAACATTCTGCTCCAAAATATCAAGTGTTGCCCTCTTCGTAACACGTCCGTACCGCAATGCGGCAATCGGTCCCCTGCAAGTAGGGCAAGTGGGTGGCGTCTGATAATTGATAGGTGGTGCTTTCGTAGATGTGAATCGTCCCATCATGTCGATATCGTAGTAGGTGGCCATCCCGCAATGTCCATCCAACGTCTCTACTGTGAAAATGTGCCCGCATTCCAGAGTGATCAGGCGCTCACTCGTGTCATTTGACGAGAGATCAATATCGGCCAAGGATCGCTGCATTATAAAATCGACAATATCTGCTTTCTTGTCATCGGCAAGACAGACTACGCAAGTCTGCATTGCGCATGGCTCCCCGCACACTGACGTGACACACGTAAACGGCAATGTCGGCTACTGTCATGGAGTTCACATACCTGAGGGGCAAGGATGGCCACACTGCAGTTGATATGTACATGGTTCGTCGCATGGAAGCCTCGAACAGATCTTTCAGTTCATAACCTGTAAGTGAGAATCTTAAAGACCTGAGTATGATGACGCTCACCGATCCGCACACGACCGGACATGTATAGTGTGCGCAAGTCCATACACATGGTTCCATACACGGAGAGCAGGGTTGAGAGCAAGTGTTGGGGCATTCAAAATGGACGCAACGCTGACGACAGGTAGCCTTGCATTCAGAATTGCAGTGATGGTCTTGAGAGCAGTCTAAGTTGCACGGATGCTGACAGTAGAGAAGTCGGTCACAGGGATGGGGAATATGGGTATCGCGTGTGATCTTGGATTCGGACTTGCTAGCTAGTTCACCAGCAGAGGCGCGTTGACAGTCTGAACATGATGATTTACATGTTTTAGAACAGCACGCTAGTGCTCTGCCACAAATTTCCTTGCATACAATTGAATTGGGATTTTTATGGCAAGGGGCTAGCGCCTGATGTTCGCATTGCGGAAGCTGCTTCATGACTTTCTCGTCGCACTTGACGTCCTTGAGTCTTTCAAGCATATGACTGGCAACAGCTCATAAGGCCACTGAGCACCAGGAGCTACACATTCAACTCACCACGCCACTCTCTTCTTGATGTGTCCGCACGGCAGCGCAACATTATATATAGGAAATTCGCATTGACCGCAATCCGCATAGCAACGGCGAGAGCAAGGGTGACTGCGAGGGCATGGTGTGCGGCCGCAAGGCTCATTGCACTTCGTGGTGCGATGATTGTCTACCGCCGCATGACACTACGCAATATACAAGAGTATTAGGGTCAATTTGGTGCAGCGGAGACCTATGCGCACCGCGGATGGGCATTTATGGCCACACGATAGACGGAATTCGCATGGCAGTAGGCAGCCACCTCCCGGTGACAGACGGCTGAGCTCCCCTGCCTTTGTAATAATCTGTTTCTGGTCAGGGTGGCGCGGACAAACTATCGGAAGGCCATGCCCAATCTGTTCTCGAGCTTCCATTTCGTCCAAAATGGTAGACCAGGTTGAGTTCCTCCGGAGATTCGCTGCATTTCCCAGGATGTATAGGCCATGCTTGGCTCGAGATAAGGCAACATTGATCCGATTCGAACTCTGGTCCATATTGTTGATTTACCTGGGATGCTTTGTGAAGTTGATCGCGCACCTTCAAAAACCCAATGGATGCAGTTCCAGTTTCGAACGTGCCCGAATTTCGAACGAGTGACACGATCACAATTTTGGCCTCTTGTCCTTGGAAGATGTCGACAGTTCCGAGACGAATCTACAATATCGTTAGTCTAAGAAGCAAGACGTTCGAGATCATCTGACGTGTTTCGCAACAATAACTTCTTCAAATCCAACGTCCTCATCAACACCTTGTCGTGCAAGTTGCTCTTGGTCCCTTTCGTCAACAGAAACGGCAATCTTCAGATCGCGAAGAGCTGCTCTAACTTTCTGCAATTGGCCAAGGTAAGCACACAAAACTGCAATATCTCCAGCCCCGTTGTAGATCCCCTGTCGCAAGAAATAGAGGACAAGATCACGGATCATTTCTACCTGAAATAATCAATTAATTATCTGAGATTCTGTTCAAAACATTGGAGGACAAAACAAACCTCAAAGTCATTGTATTTTGATACAGAGTCGTCGGATCCATTCTCTTTGTGCGTGTGATTGAAGAAGTAAACATCTTTTTGCATACCGACCACAGGTGGGTAGACGAGGACAGCCTCGTTATCCTCAAGTTTGGGGTATAGGATTTCACTAATATACAATTTATAGTTTGGGCGTTGAGAGAAGTGACATCACTCACCGAATGAAGTGTGAGATAGAGGGTCTCATTCTGCGCTGTACGTTGATTTGCGACATGGGCAAGCCGCTTTCCGCTAATCGCTCCATCATTGATCTGTCAAACTTGAATAGCTGCTTTCCTCGCTCGCTATCCATGGACAATGCTACATGACACATTAAAATCAGCTGTTTTAAAGAGAGCACTATCGCACCAAATGTTGCCAGTGTGGGGCGTAATTGTTGAGGATCACCTATACAAATCAAGTGTTTTACTACAAGGGAAGTGAGTCCTGCGGATACAAAAAAGACGTATTCTGGATTACCCGAAGGAACAAGTGAAGTCAGAATGTGCGCTTCCAACACCTGACCAGCCTCCTCCACCATCAACACTTGAGGCGAAATGTTCTACACGCACAATGAGATAAGAATAATCTTTGTGGTACATATACGCACACTCAGAAGCGAGGTCAATTTGGCCGCGCCTGGACAACTCAGAGTTATCAATTCGAGCCATAATTGATATGAAGTAGAGCGCACCAGTAGTCGTACACCCAATTAAATCTGATTGACTGAGGAGACGGCGACGGGTCTAATGCCGAGATGGTCGCGAGTTATATCAGGAATCGGGGGTGCAGATAGTTGATATTACTCACCTCATCTCTGATATCATTGTATTCTTTGCACGCGTCCCGGTAGCTAGTACGGAGTCCTTCGTAATGCTGCAAATTGGAGCTATACGCAAGCTGACGTATAATTTGTTCCCATTCCTTCGAAAGGCGCGTCCGCTCCTCCAGGGACATAGACCAAACCGCGCAGGCTTGGAGTAGCGCTTGAATGGGACGCGTAGAGACAGGAACCGGGGGCCTTTCATCACCAAAACCAAGAGATGCGAAGAATTCAGCAACAGCAGGGTCCACGATGGCTTCCGGTAATTGTGTCTGTTGGAGACGTTTCTTCTTCTTCGTCAGATTACGCACCTGAGGTTGTATATACTTTATATCCTCTCCGTCTCGCCAAAACCCGTACAGAGTGCGTGTTATATTGGGATTGGATTGTTTCTTACCGGTGGTGGTCCACTCGCCGTTCTCCTCCTCCTCAATGCGCGCTCTCTCGTAGAGTGCATTAACCCAGTAGGGCGGAGTAAGGATACTTTCAGCGTGTTCTGGATAATGAATGTCAAGGAAGTTTTCGATCTGCTCCCAGGAGATATCTGGCAGTTGAATAGACGTCATAACCTTCGCCATATCCTCTTCCAGCTTCTTCATAATGGCATATTGTCGCTTGATAGGTCGATCCAGCATTGATGTACCTCCAGCCACGTGTTCCAGCTTGTCCAACGTGTACTGTCCGATGCGTTCGTCCGACGAGCGGGAGCCGAGACGCACCAGCTTCTCAGTAATTTTTGCGTCGAGAACCGAAGTCAGCATATGATCCAACGCATGGTTTGTGTATGCGATCAAGACTACGCTCCATTGTAAGGATGTAACGCTTCACGTAAGGCACAACGCACCTATCGGCCTAATTCCGCTTGCGAACAGCACGCGCAAAATTTCCTTCGCAGTAAAACTCTGCTCGATGACATTGAGTACAGTCTACATCCGAACAATATTTTTCACTGACTTTTCCAGTACCGGGAGGTCTAATATGAATAGTAAGTCCTCCAACTCATTAAGTCTTTGACGCAAACTACTCACCCTTGAATCAAAGACACCTCTCGAGTAAATGTGTCGAGAACTGCATTGATCTGACTGGGATCCAGCGTGCTTAGCTCAAGGAGTTCACGACGCGCGATATCGACGGCTCCAGCGCGATTGATGTTGAGTGGCTGGATCCGCCCAGCACGGCCAAGCTCGCGACCAGCATTGAGACAGTTCAAATTAAATTCAAAACGTGGGGCTGTTGCATATTGAGGTGGGCGCAATTCAATGTTTTCCAGCAACCCGCTATGAGATATGTACCGGCTAAATGGAATCTCCGTAGGTTCTGTGGTCTGCAGTTTCTGGAGGAAATGGCGGACGGCTTCGTACATAACACTGTTGTCGATGAGAAACGCAAAGGTTGAGTCGTCGACAGAGATTCGTTCGCGACGTAGTGCCATAAATTCAATCTCGGCATCGAAAAATGACATGCGCACTTGTATCTCTTCTGCATTGGCTTTGGATGATTCAGCAATATCTTCGCTGAAAGAAGAAATGACACCAAGGTACGCTCGTAACGTCTTGTGAGATACAAGCACAAGCGCAACGAGGCTACCGCCTTGTAGCCGCTTACTATTGGACCAATACTCGTAACGCTTTTTTGCGTCCGAGTCCCTTGCAGTGCGGTGATTTGGTGCATCAAGAACCAGGCCAACAGTGAGGTCACGCCGCTCGGCACGAACAGGGGAGAAACGGGCGCCAGTGTAGATTTGGAAGAAAACGGAATCAAATCCGCTTGTCCTGTACGCTCCGCCTTTACTATTCAGCAGCTCCTCAAGCTTCGTCGGCTCTCTAGCCATCTTAGATTTTTGCCACATGATCGCGAGGTCACCGTGAATAGCTGCCACAGAAGAGCGTATAGTTGCGCTGCAAAAATGCTGGTCAGTACATATTCCGGAAAAGCTGTGCTGAGCCCGTACATGAGTTCTTCTCTAAGTAATCGGAACTGGATGTCAAGATGCCGTTCCATAGAGTCAACAGGTAGATGATGGGGCGCGTCTGGAAGGAATACAGGCAAATATGGCGGAACAGCACAGAGAAGTTCATCATGAGTGGGAGCAAGCCGTATGGCGGAAATGTCCACATGGTCGTTGTCGTGCCGCGGTCCCTCGTCACGTAGAATTCCTGGAGGATCATATGTCTGCGCAAGCTGTGAAAGGAGTGCTTGTCTCCTCTCGGCAATAGTAAGTGCTGGCTTAGACACAAGACGCCGGCGTCCCTCCAGAGTTTCTGACTCGCGCTCGACAATAGACTCAAGCCGCACGATCTCATCCCGAAGCTGGCGGATGGTCAATGAGCGAACATTCTCCGGAGACATGGTTATCGGATCATTGAAGCAGGGAGGGACCGCTGTCACATCAGATGCCCAGCTTTCGAACCACACTACTAGTTTTCCGACCAGTCGTATGGTATCTGGGTGATTCCGCACTGCGTCCTTGAACCGGTTGAGGAATCTAGAATTGAATCAGTACACTGAATATAGGTATCAATGGGTAGTATTACTGATGCAAAACGGTCGACAGAGTCTTGAACACGACAACGCCATCAAGACTGTTCTGGAGGGAGGGGATCAATCCGGGAGTTGGATCCTTCCAAGACTTAGCGTCAATCATGCTACCAATACAGTTCTCTATCACAGCATGAATGGTGTCATAGTTGTTCTCAAGGACCGTATAAAGATGACTGACAGAACGAATGGACAGTCAAAATTGCGAGCTGAGCGATGCATGGACTTCAAAGTACGTACTTGATGTTTTTATGTAAGGTGCTCTTAAGAACTAGATTGGACGCAAAATACTGAGCTAAGATGTTAACACAACGCATACCCTCGTAGTAGCATTTCTCATACCTCGAAAACAGGAAAGTAGCCCCGTTGAAATGACAATATGCCCTTATTCGTCCCAATACTGGAGTGAACAGGCTCGAATCGGAGAACATCTCCAATCCGTATGACCCCATTTCCCTGCAAAGGAAAAAATTCATCAGTGACATAGTCAAAGATCACTGAGAACAATATTACATTGACTATCATGTCAAGGAAGGCCTACATAGGGTGGGTCAACCTCGGCATCTAGTTTCACGTCGTGACTACTGAAAGAGCTCACCTGCGCATTGTCAGAATTCTGAGAGTTACAATGATAAGCTATGTCTTCAAGAAACAATCAAGCATACACGTACCCAGGACTTGTTACGGTCATTTATGCTGGCCAAAATTCTGACGAATCCCTGTACTCTGGAAGCGCCATCAAATGCGTAGTTGTCTCCCAAGAAAGCCTTGATATGGTTATGGGCTTCGCTCGGGGTGAGAGTATTGCGCTCCTCCCGAACAGAGCCGTTGCTCACAGCAAGGCCTTCTGCGGAGAAAAAATCTTGTATTTCCTCTTGTTCATTTCCAACCACGGGCGCTTCCTGACTTTCAGGGGCGACCGGCTTTCGCTCGTGTTTGAATGAGCAATCGAATCCTCGTGCACAGCTGCCTGATGTCCAGAATAAATTGCATACACGAGGGGGAACACCAGGAGCTGGACCAGGTTTTGGACGTTGAGAAGGCGTAGGTGCTTGAGCCCGAACTGGAGACGAGGTCGAACCTGCTGGTTGGCCCAACTGGTGGGCGAACTTGCAACGATCGCCGAATCTACAGCGGCCTACAGAAGCGAACGCATTGCAGACTTGAGGAGTCCGCCGTGACATCGTTGCGCAGTTTCTTGCTATATGGATGGGAGAATAGGAGGTGGTGGGAGGAAGAGACGAACGGGACGCGCCCCCGTGTGAACATGGACTGCTTACTGCTCTGTTGCGGTTATCGATGGGGACCCCCACAGACGCCAACATGGGCAGCATCGCCTCTGCACACGCTGCAGTACCGTTGTAGGCCATGCGTGACCAAATTTGACAGCTTACGGCGGTCTAGCTTTCATTTACAGCAACATGGGTCTGGACATGATACACGGAGCACCTGTACAGTATATAGAAGACATCCGGTGTTGCCGCTTAGAACACAGGAATTTCGAGTGTTCCATACAAAAGACTGGAACACAGGAAGCTGCTGCGTACGCACACCCGGAAATCCGCTATCACAGACCGAGATCTAGAGGCAGTCAATGTGATGCTAAAATCCCTGAGCCACATCAGTGTTAAATATGCCAAAGCGAACGAGATATGCCTCACATTTATGACTGAAATGGACGCGTAGGTCAGCACCAGGTTGCGCTGCTGGAGGAGAGACCTGGACTAGTCATGATGTCGGAGATTAGTTTCACCAATATTTGGGACTCCGCGGCACAGCATGAGATTGCCGTGCCTCTCCGACTCTTACTCCGTCACTCCGACCACGAATATCGGTATTTATTCCTGAGACGCTCCTTCAGCGGATCAAGGGTGCTGGCCGAGTTCAACTGACAATTTGAGAAAAAGATAGAACGACAGGAACTAGGATTTTTAGAAATATGGTTGATATAAGAAATCTCTAGTCAAACAGTCGATGTTCACAGAGAGTACCGTGCTGTGAGAATGTAGGCTTCAAATGAACAACAGGAGATCATGCCCGATTCTGTTCATCACAGTGCTCCATAGCGTGTCTATGTATATGTACATCTAATTGCTTGAGGAAATTGAGATGACATTCATGCCTGTCGCGGATTGACAATCCGTCTATAAAGCGAGACCGAAAGCATATTGGAGTAAAGAGTCGCTTTCACTGAAGGCATGATCCGAGTATATAATCCTTGATATAATATTCGACCTTTGAAAATGTTCAACGAAGGCATAAGAACAGACGTTCAAGTCTTATCGTAGTCACAACTATGGAAATCAATGGAAGAGGCAGAGGGGCGAAGTCCATAGGACATTTGATAGTACCTCCTTTCAATTACGATCGCTCTCAAATGTCCTCTGCGAGACCTCTGGTAGAAGCCCCTCAGAGCTCTTGGACTCATCTCGATTGACCGTGCACTAAGTTGCACATCGTTGTTTCGACGATTCGCACGACCAGCCAGATTGCCTTCCTGAATTCGTAGTTTCTCGAGATACTCGCGGACTCACTTGCGTGACGAACATAGTGAAGTCTGAGTCACTACGTTTACTCTAAGCCCGATCAAACTCTGCCTCCACATTCTCACATACCTGCGGCCGCGTCCAAACATCCTTCATAGACATATTCCTTACTTATGCAGGCCTCAATATGCCACAGATGCGATCGGATGCGTCCTGCTCAGACGAGACCGGTAAAGGAACGAAACACGAGATACGCGAAGACAGCTAAGGCTGCCGGTGACAGATGGATCTTAAGGATTGTAAGGTTGATGCTAGGAAAATGAGTGTAAAATAAATGGACAAGGTTACTGTGAATGCATAGTCGCAGACGGAATAAGGCCCAGAAACCAGGCAGATATAAGAAGCACATCTGAGCGAATTTCCATACGAAGCTATCTGGACGAGTGGGAAGTGGTAAGACTCTGCTTCACTCATTGTCGTATGCACGACTAAATCGTTGGCGGTCAGAAGTGCTAAGCATCACGGCCACGGATGACCTGACATACAAAGATTAGTAGATGGATTAGTGTGAATAGTAGGCATACTCACCGAAGTAGACCCCGTGCATGAAGATCCGGAAACCGACGAACAAGGGCATCTGACCAACAGCCTTCTGCAGGAACTTGGAGAGATTCAGAGACTTCTAAGCCGGTGCACAGTATCCCGAAGTGAACGGTTTCTAAATGACGACATTCAGACCTGGCAAAGTACCCCTCGATTTGCGCACAAACATGGTCATCTGCGCTCAAGGATGGATCTTCCAATGTCTTCGCCAGTGTGGAAACATGATCTGGGCTATGAATTATGAAACCAATCGTAACTTGCTGCAGCTTTGACGGATAGAGTGTGGATAAGCTGTGATGCAGAAAACCCCAGGGTATGGCGGCGGGGCCCTTTGGATGATACGGGTTTATGTCGAAAGTGATGTGGAGTGCGCTCAGGCAACGTAGCTCGCCCAGATTGAATGCAGCCAGCCGTGTCTCATGGCTGGCGGAGACATCATCAATCCTAAGCGTAACATCCAGCGAGGAAAGAGAAGCGCCAGCGGCGCATACTAGTCGCTGCAGACCGTCGGTCGAGTGATTCAAGTATCCGGAGAGCTTCATAGTGAGATGACAGAGGGCGGCGCCGATCGGGGGCTCGACAAAAAAGTCGACAATATCGTTGGTTTCGTCCAGATTGACATCTGCCAGGGCAAAGCCTTTGGGAGGCAGCGCGCGCCCTGGTACATAACCCTGAGTAACAGTATATAGAGAGTGACAAGCAAGCGTAGCGAGACGAGGGAACGAGAATACCAGCCGCGCCAAGACAATCGACGATGGGAACTCGATCGAGTCGAGAGTGAGGCGAGTGACGTGCGCGAATGAGACACTCAGGTGCGTGAAAACGTCCGTGTGGAACAATGCAGGTGCCCACTTTGACCTGAGTCCATCGGCCCCAATTGTGAGGGTCTCCACACGCGGGTTCGACCGCCCCATGAGAAATCCAAGAGGCTCCATGAGTGTGATCGCTTCGGCCAAGCTTGCCTGGGATGCAGCCATTCGCATCGCCTTTGCTACACGGTGCCCGTGTTCCTTGTCGCGGACAACAACGTGTCGAGAGAGATGCCAGCGGCACCGCACAGACCACAGCCTGCAGACGAGCGAGCAGCTTCGTAGTGCATATGCCCATCCTCCCCGAGCGAGAAGATCGAATACCCGCTCCCACATCTCGATCGGGAGACGAGGAGACCAAGAGAGGTTAGGCGGTTTCGTCAACTCCTTCTCGTATATGTTTTTGAAGGTACCGCGAGGGCGCGGATCGACATCTATGGTGAATTCACCTCGTTGGCGACGAGATACCCAAGGTGCGTATAAGTGATGTCACTCACGTTGACCGACATGCAAAACCACTTCTGCCCCTCTCGCACGCTGCGTCGGTTCCCCTCCTCGGCGGCGCCATATCTTCTCGTCGTGTGAGGGGCTGACCATAGGATAGCAAGAGGCAGCTCAAGCCAAGCGGTCCACGCACGCTCAGCCCTCATACGCAATCAACGCGCCAAGTACACAGCCACGAGGGCTAGATTCCGAGACTCTGTTAATGATCCTTGGATTTTGCATGTCGACACCAACGCATATCGCTTGTGCTTTCCTCTTGCAGCTTTATGGATCAGGAAACAGCCTACTCAGGTTCTGAACGCCAGTCGTTGTACCCAACCATGTCGCCAAGGATCCACCGATGAGCCAGATGTTCATTGATCGGTCATAAGAGAGCTAGAGAAACCACCGTCACTAGAGAACCAGTTCACCCAGTGCTCACTCAGTACTCAGTGCTTACCGGGAAACACACTGAATATTAAATATTGAATATTGAATGATAACACTGGGCGCTTGAAATTCCAGATTTCATGCATCAGATTTTTCCGATTTTTGCATTTATTGAGTCGACCTCCGGCCACTGCACCCGATCCATAAATACTCTTAGGGTACAATAGACAATGTTTCTCGGGTCGTGTCGATTCACATGTAAATATCTGGCTCTCCTCTACTGGTTTCATTACTACTTCAGATACCCAAATATATCCAGAACGTTCAACACGGAAAGGGGGAGAACTGATAGTATCATGATGTAGCATCATAGATTTAAAGCACCTTAATGCCCAATCCAGCATATCCCGCCATCGACCGGCATATCAAACGTTAGTCACCGCTGCCCGTACCACCTGCAAGGAAAACTATATTGGTTCTGAATTGTCGGCACCATGCGAGGGGCCACTGTCGTGAATAGAATCATCGCGACTACTTGTACAAATTTGGAGTCCGCCACTCAGAGCACCCTACGTTTGATGCCAACAACGCACTCCTGCGGTTTCCTGACTAAGCTGTCTTGAACCAATAACTTGAAGGACACATCAGAAAGGTATCACCCCAGTTGGATCGTGCAACTTACAGGACCATCACCTTCAACCACAAAGCTGTACCTGCGGAAAATCGTCGCAACCATGATATGAAGCTGCATGATCGCCAGATTCCGCCCAATGCACGCCCTTCAAATTCGGACGGCATCCAGTCAGCAGAGGGAGACTATTAGCCGCGACAGACATTCTCACCTAGGACCAATAGAAAATGGGGCGAATGCTCGCATCATTTCTGCCTTGGGTTCTGCCCCCATGTCGATCCACCTCTCTGGCACGAACTCACCCGCGTTCTCACCCCAGATCTCAACGCTCCTGTGCACGCTGAAAAGGGGCACGCTGACCCATGTCCCCTCCTTGAGGGTTTGCCCTAGCACATTCAGCCCACCCTCGGGTACGATGCGCGGGAGTCCCGCGCCGACGGTTGAGTGCAACCGGAGCACCTCGTTGATCACCGCGTCGAGGTAGGGCAGGTCTTTGACCGCCTCGTACGGTGCAACTTCAGAGTCGACACAAGCGAGCGCGTCGTCGAGCTCAGCTTGGAGCTTAGCCTGGACGTCGAGATGTCGGCCCAGGTAGAATACCGTAGCACATGACGTGCTGCACGAACGCTCTTAATCCTTCAGCAGATTCGATAGGAAGGCAGACTCACTTGGCGATAGTATCTGCACCGGCGATGATAAGACCCAAGGCTTCCGCAGCCACTTCATCTGGGCCCATTGGGTTCCCATCCTCGTCACGGCCCTCTAGTAAACTCTGCAGCATGTCCTCCCTCGCATCGGAGTTCTCCAGGCGCTTCGACACAGACGCGATCGACAAGCCCGCTAACTTTGCCGAAGCAGCGTTGCCTTCGCGGATACGTGGGTGCCATTTGGCCAGCGGCCACCAGAAAGAGGGAAGAAAGCCTAACACAGAATTTATCTCGAAACCTGCAGCGAGCACGTTGATGACGGAGATCTTGACCATCTCAAATGCGGACTTTTCCAAGGTCTTGACTTCTCCCCTGGGGTATTTGGCGACCCAAGTCTCGTCCTTCGCAGCAGCGATCATACCGAAGGGAGAGCCACAAGCGAGATCACCTAGAATGTGATGACATTGACTGAGGTCCTGAGACTTTAAAGAGCATCTAGAACGCACTGATAGTATCGAATGACCAGAAGCTGAACCCTGCATAAGGCACATTTCAAGACACTTTCAAGAGAAAGACGCAGTAAGTAGCTTACAAATCATGCAGTTGAACCAGACCCTCCCGTCCTTAACGGTCCACTTCGACGAGCCCATTGTGCCTTCTGACGTCGATCCCTTGATACACTTGCACAATTCGTCCCACTGGCTCATGAACTTACCAAAATGCACGCGCGTCGTGCTCTCGAGTGAGCGGACATTCTTCAGGGCGAACATCTGCGACTCGACGCGGCGCTTGCGCGCATGGTCTGCCCGCGAGCGTGTCGAAAAGATGTTTGCATGCTCGAAGTTGGAGAACGCATCATAGAACGATGCCTTGAGCGCCCCGCTCGAGTGTCCATAGATCAGCGGGAGCGCCGCGGGGTCCGCGATAGAGACATAATTCGGCCCAATGCGGATGAATGCGCCTTTGAGCTGATTAATATCCAAGTAAGATATCCGATGACGAGCAGAGTTGGACATACCGTGTTTCTTGTGTAGGTTATCGATAGTCTCAGACCAGGTGTTTGAGAAGATGGTCAAGCCCAGCCACACATCCGTGAATTTCGCGAGGAATGGCCCGGGATACGCGCGAAGACCACGCGAGTCCATGATGTAGGGCACCAGATGTACCAGAATAGCACCGAGGGAGACGGTGCATAACAAGTACACGATATCATGCCCGACGACGGGTAATGAGAGAATATGCGCCATGTCCTTAAAATATCAGCCTATAAGAGGCTGGTCGTTATAGAGTGATACTGAAGCTGAAAACGTACCGAGTCACTGTGATCTTGATGTAGAGCATTTTATATTTGCACTGAGCAGAGTCCACGGCGAGCGTTCGGGCAGAAGTGGTTTGACTTGTGCACAGAGACCACAAGGCCGCGCGGATTATCAGCTGCCCAAGCGCGAGAAATAGGGCCGGCTGCGCTATGCACGCAATACAGGACTTGCATCGCCATAACCAATACGGAGGCAATGCGATTCGTGCGGGATTCGCACGAATTCATGGCCGGACTGCAGAGATATGGCCTCCTGAGCAAAGACGCGCAACAAAGTGATCGGAAGGTCAGACCGGTTACGGAGTATGGCAGCTTCTTGTGCTTCTCGTGAGTAATTTAGGTCAGCGAGGTGTAGTGACGCAGGACCTTTACGCTACCGGGCCGAAGAGTAACAATTTGCGTCAACTCAATTGCCCTTGCACAGAGGGGCCTTACGCACCAACGTTGTAATGTGCATGATAAACAACGCACTGCCAAGCTGATCGCAAATATAAATGACCAACTCATGATATGCCTACCGAATGAAGCATAATGAAGGCGAGGAAAGCGCCAGAAAACATCTGAATACTGGAATTATGCATCGTACGATACAGCAGTAATCTACATTGGTATCACGGATCATTGATATTATAGTGCAGTGAGACGTAGAAGACTGCACCTCTTATGAATCGACGAGAATGTGCAGGAGGATACCTGAAACAAGATTCGCATTTAAGTTTGATATTACCTCAAAAGAGTCAGACTTTTTCGTAGTGAGGTAAGCAAGCCAGCAGACAAGATAATACGAAGATTCAAAGCACAGATAGCAGGTCCGCCGCTGTTATGAAAGGGTGGACACGGATCAGTGAGCGAGGAGAAGCACCCGAGCAAATACCTTGATAGCGTACTTGGCGCAGAAATAAGGAGTTCGGCTGTATTGGTGACACCGTAAACCAGAGGCTGTCATGCAGTGAGGCAGTGCTTATAGCTAGGAGCAGACTGAGGAAAAGAATGAGCCGCTCAAGACTAACATAGATTGCCCCTTACACAGCGGCCGTCGCCCGGAGAAAAACTGCATGAGTCCGATGGGGTAGGGAAGTGCACAGCGATAGCCACACAGCTTTGAGTTGCGTGGGCCATCGAAACTCTTCAGCTTTCCATCGGCCCTTTAGCTTGGACATTAAGTAGGAGCCTCATCGAGCACACTCGAGACTGCGTAACGCCCAAAGCCGCATCAGGCGATGCAAGAGCCCGACGCCACAAAACAAAAACTGTGCATCCAGAAGAAACTTGGGAGTAGTGGTGATCATGAGGTACAAGCTATTCAGGAATAGCCTACATGCGCCCCGCACATTCCGAAGGCTCACAGCATTTACTTTTAGGATAAGCTGCCGTCCGTCTCTTACTCAACTTCCTGGTCCATGCTCATCCTGTACAAAGCGACAGGATTGTACAATGAACCTAACATCTTGGGTACGTCCAATCCTACGTTCTTGAACCGTCATGTCCGAGACCACTCTTCGTGAAAGATGGTCAAGAGTGCCAGGGCTGTGTGCCCGAAGCAGAAGTATTGCCTGGGGTGCAATTGTACGTGTAGCGCATAAATCGAAGCCAGAGAAGCCACTCGGCTCCGAGGTGAATAGACACTGCGGAGCTCTGGGAAATATTGTCGTCGTTGCCAGATGCCACATTGGTCAGAGAGTGGATTTTGGCGCTGAGACTGTCCACGCGATCATACCTGGACTAAACAAGCATGTAATGAGCGCGAGTCCTAGAAGGCTGTTCGCGAATTCACAGGGTCTGCGAGTACGGTGGCGGTGAGATTTGTAGATTGGTCACAGCGAGGTTTGCACAGAGCGAAGACCAAGTCCGTAACGTAGAAATGTGTATACAGCTAAGAGGCGCAGGACACCGGATAAGAGTGCAGGGAGTGTGGTATGAACAAAAATTCGTGCGACTGAGACGGGCCCAAGGACGAACATAGAGATGTTGAATTGTCAATAAACGTATCAGAGACAAGGGCGATGGCACTCACATAAATGAGCTGGTCCTGCCTCAGCACCGATCAGTCTGTCGAAGTAAATGGATTGTGAAGTCAGTAATACAAACGGACACTATTAGCTACTTAGTCTACTCGTTCCTTATCTTGTTCACCATCCTTCTAAATTAGGTAACTCGCGGTATGATACGTTTTACATCGTCGCCCGCGCACCTCAGTCCTCCGTCTACACGACATCGGATTGAGAGTGCGTATATCCTTCATTCCACGCGATGTATTACTTACAGCTCTCTAGTTATATATTACAGGTACATACATTAGTCCTCCGTCTACACGACGTCGGATTGAGATTATATATTACAGTTCCTACACAGTCATCAAAACATGGTCAAACAACGTCGACCGGGCATTGAATAGAGAACAGAAAAGCACGGGTAAGTAGGCAACGATGTCAATGGCAGAGAAAAAAAGTCAGGACCAACTTGAAGCGAGACCCAAGAGGAGTGTCGGGTGGTCGAGCCATGTGGAGCGCTGACTCAGCAGGAAACATATCCAGATTTGGCATATCCCGACTGCTTGATCTCAATCGGGACTCCGACTCGAGCCGCCGATCAAATCTCGCTCGTTATTCCACAAACACAACGAAAATCCCGAGTCGCACGGGCGGCGCTACCTGTTGCCGTGCCCACTCCGCTCGTAAGGACAGATGGTTGAACGTTGAACGACGGCCCAATGCATATATCGCTATCATGACACACTCTAGACTGGGTGCCAATTATATGTTCGCCTGCCCCTGTACTGTATCTTTATGTTGCAGACCAGGGTGTAGCCTGGAGCCCTAAGGTGAGTAAACATTTTCCATTCAATTATTCAGCTTCCGACAAGTTATGGCCACTTCTCTGGAGAAGTCGAAATTGAACGGTTCATTGAGACTCATTACTCCTAGGTACAGAGTATGAACACTACGGCCGCTTCTACACGTTCACAAGCGAGGCTCAAGTCCACGGCTTAAAGGGCCCTACGTTTGATGCCAACGATGCAATCCTTGGGTTTCCTGACAAAGCTATCTTGTACCAAGAGCTTGAAAAGTCACGTTAGAAACGTATCGTGCCAATTGCATCGGACGACTTACAGGACCATCGCCTTCAACCAAAAAGCTGTACCTGTGGAAGATCGTCGCAACCATGATATGAAGCTGCATGGTCGCCAGATTCCGCCCAATGCACGCCCTGAGGCGATCGCGCAGGTCAGCCAGGTCCACGCTAGCAGCTACAATAGGTATCCTCACCTCGGGCCAATAGAGAACGGAGCAAATGCTCGCGTCATTTCCGCCTTGGCCTCTGCCTCCACGTTGATCCACCTCTCCGGTACGAATTCACCCGCGTCCTCGCCCCAGATCTTTGTGCTCCTGTGCAGATTGTACACTGGCACACTGACCCATGTCCCCTCCTTGAGCGTCTGCCCGAGCACATTCAGCCCGCCCTCTGGTACCACCCGTGGCAGCCCAGCGCCGACGGTTGAGTGCAAGCGGAGTACCTCGTTGATCACCGCGTCGAGATAGGGCAGGTCTTTAATTGCCTCGTACGGTGCAACATCCGAGTCGACACAAGCGAGCGCGTCGTCGAGTTCGGCTTGGAGCTTAGCTTGGACGTCGAGATGTCGGCCCAAGTAGAACACCGTAGCACATGACGTACTGCACGAACACACTAAATTATTTAGCAGCTTCGATGGGAAGGCAGACTCACTTGGCAACGGTATCCGCCCCAGCGATGATGAGGAGCAATGCCTCTGCGGCCAGTTCGTCCGGGCCCATCGGGCTCCCATCCTCGTCGCGTCCCTCGAGCAGCTTTTGCAGCATGTCCTCCCTCGCTTCGGGGTTCGCCAGGCGCTTCGACACAGACGTGATCGACAGGCCCGCCAGCTTCTCCACAGCCGCGGTCCCCTCGTGAATGCGTGGATGCCATTTCGCCAGCGGCCGCCAGCGCGAGGGGAGGAAGCCGAACACAGAGTTTATTTCAATGCCGGCGGCGAGCACGCTAATGACGGGAATCTTCTCCATCTCAAATGCGGACTTTTCAAAGGTTTCGACTGGGCCCTTGGAGTGTTTGACGACCCAAGTCTCGTCTTTCGCAGCCGGGATCATGCCAAAAGGAGAGCCAAAGGCAAGATCACCTAGAGTGTGGAGGCTGTTAATCAACTGGGGCTGGAATCGTTCTGGAACGCACTGATAGTATCAAATGACCAGAAGCTGAACCCTGCACAAGGCACATGTCAGAGTGCTTTTGAGAAAAAGGCGCTGTAAGCAGCTTACAGATCATGCAGTTGAACCAGACCCTCCCGTCCTTGACGGTCCACTTCGACGAGCCCATTGTGCCGTCTGACGTCGATCCCTCGATGCACTTGCACAAGGTGTCCCACTGGTTCACGAACTTGGCAAAATGCACGCGTGTCGTGCTCTCGAGCGCGCGGACATTCTTGGGGGCAAACATGTGCGACACTATGCGGCGCTTGCGCGCATGTTCTGCCCGCGAGCGTGTCGAAAACATACTTGCGTGCTTGAAGTCGACGAATACGTCATAGTACGGCGCCTTGAGCGCTCCGCTCGAGTGCCCATAGATCAGCGGGAGCGCCGCAGGATCCGCGATAGAGACGTGATTTGGCCCAATGCGGACGAGTGCACCTGTGATCTCAATCAGTCTCTAGTTCAGACAACCGGACGGAGGAAGATTTGGACATACCGTGTTTCTTGTGTAAGCTGTCGACGGTCTCAGACCAGGTGTTTGAGAAGATGGTCAAGCCCAACCACACATCCGTGAACTTTGCGAAGAACGGCCCAGGATACGTGCGAAGACCACGCGGGTCCATGATATAAGGTACCAGATGCACTAGAATAGCACCGAGAGAGACAGTGCATAGTAAGTACACGATATCCTGCTCGACGACAGGCAATGAGAGAATGTGCGCCATGTCTTGGAAGTATGGGCCGAGATGAGGCTGTCCGCTATCGAGGAGTGAATACTGAAGATGCTGTTGCGAACGCACCGAACGGCCGTGATCCTATACTGAGCATTTTATACTTGCAATGAGAAGGGTCCACGGCGAGCGTTCGGGCAGGGGTCGGTCAACTTGCATACAAAGACCGCATGTTTGTGCATGGACTGTCGTCCATCAGAACGGAAGCGCGGTAAGGCCAGATTGCCAAACTGGCCGCGGAAATGGGAGCTTATTGCGCTTCGCGTGGGCATTTTGGGTCAGCGAGGTATGGTGACGGAAGAGCTTTACGCTACCGGGCCGGCGAATAACAACGGTCAACAGTCGAACTACCCAGCTCATACAGAGGACCCTCAGGATTAGTAGCACCACTGTAGAGAGCATGATAGACACCGCACTGCTGGATTTGTCACGAGTGTAAATGACCACATCCCTCCAGGACTATGTGCTGCCATCGAACTCAGAATGCGAAAATTCTGTATATGATACTAATTCTTCGTCTTGGATGCTGCCCGCAGTCTATGGCATGCTGTTCTCGGATAGCGCTTCAGGAGCACCTCAGGGGCGGTAAAGGAGCGTAATCAAGATGAGCAAAGAACCAGAGACGTATCTGACCGCCGGAACAAATTGATTGGCATCACAGATTACTGATATGCGACACATAGAAAATCGCACCTCTCGGAGATTCCATAGATTTGGACCAGCATCACAATGAGGTCAGAGTCAGAGTCTCAGACACCCAACCGGTCCTCTGGAACGGCAGCCTGTGCGTCTTGTGGTGAGCGAACTAGGATGACGGGCGAGCTTGACGCCACCCTCGGGGTTGTGGCCCCGTTCACGTGCCGAGGTGACACGACAACCCATTGACTTGATCAAGTTGCAGGATAGCATTGGGCACATTTATCAATAGCTACACCTAGTACAACATGTTCATATGACCACCGTAGGCCGCGCCGAAACACGAACGGTCTGCATACAGTTCGTCATCTTGAGGGCCGCTCGTCATCCAGGACATGTGCGAGCATATATTCTGGGACAGGCTTTCGGGCACAACAAAAGTGCGCCATTCAGCGGCCAGAACGGAGCGTAATGAGAGTGAGTACAGCGCCAAAAACGTTTGACTACCGAACTCATCGAAATGTAGAATACCACACCTCCCGTAATCTCCGAGACTCGGAAGCGCAACACTACCAGAGGCTCATTCAGAGTTGAGGTAAGAGTCGCATAGGGCACCCGCACAATAGTAGGGCGTATACACAGGCTGTGCGTTGCACGTTGTGGGGTCAAAACGGGAGCCGTACACAGAACGATCGTCAAATAGTAGAAGTACGTACCATGCTCTACGAGGGTAGTGCTCGCATTTAGGTGTCGCACACTGGGTCGGACGGGAAGATAATGCGAGAAGAGGATGGTCATGCAGCCTGATGCATAGATCAGAGTCGGGCCTCTATGATGATGTTTTTGCGAATGGAATTTTTTTTTGGCAGTTTGTGGGATGGATGCACTGCAGCACCATCACCATATACAATGCACAATTCTCGTGAAATGAAAGCTATTCACCTGTGGCTCCTAGTAATCTGCTGAGCGAGGTCTCTCTACGAGCTTCGCTCTCTCATGCAGGTCCCAAATGGCAATCTGCTTGATCTCTGCACGTTGGTAGTGGCACGTCTGCTGTGGCAGTCGTGTGCCATAGGCAGGACTGCAGTGAGCAACGACATGTTAGGGTCATGCGGAGCACATGTAACACAAACTCCACGTAGAGCAAGAGTTGAGCAAGAGTAGCATGTATGAGGTCAGGACACAGCAGGCGGAGCAAGACCATATGACAGGTGCGGGAATACAAGGCTATCCCTATGGTAGCCGAGTCATAAGTACAGTGAGAGAGCATGAAGACCATATGTCTGCAAGGACACAGGGTCAAAGCAAGGGACAGTACATGATATGGACAGCTGCACACAGAATGGGCGAGGCACTGGGTACGTATGCAGAGAAATCGGATTGGAGATCGACGGGATGAACACATCCCATGGCTGAGGTCCAGAGGAGGCTAGATGGGGAGAGTAGAGATGAATGGAAACTGAAAATTTCCGTGGTTATCGATAGTCCGTCTCAAACGATGGTGCTATAGACTACGGTATACGCGAAAACCGTAAGTCAGCGGGTACCACAACGGCTATAAAGTCTCTAGGCAAGGAAAGTCACTAATGATGCCAACGCAAAAGGCCTTTTATACTTACCTACACGATTCGCGTGCGGTAAGCTTGGGGAGTCGGCAAGAGAGGAATTGGAACCACAGCTGCTGGGTTGGTGGACTAGGGATATACTGGTGCGATATGCGATTGTTGAACCATAAGTTGAAACAGATGGTTTGCAGATGATGATAGTCGACACCAGCGAGCAGCTCGTCAAGACGAGCAAAAGCATGGTCATCGACACCCGGAGACAGGTCTTGGATAATATCAGATACGCTATCCATACCAGAGAAGTTACGGTAGTATATGTGGAAGTATATTGTGAGCTGCTTGAGCCTGGATGAGGCGAGCTCAGCCAGGACAAGATGCAGCCAATTCCAGATCGCGCTTGTGCCTGATCCCAGATTAAACACGTCGAAGATGAGAATGAGGGATTCTAAGCAGTCGAAACTGCTCAGATCCAAGGAGGAGGGGGAGGGGTGCTGCAAGCGAAGGGAAGCGTCCACATCTGGCAAGGAGGGTCCCGGCACGTTGATGTCCAGTGAACGAAGAGAAGTGATCGCACAGTCTAACAGCCGTTGCACGACAGTAAAATGCATACGCCGGCACTCCAAGTGACGGAGAGTGCGACAAATCAAGGATTCGACAAGGAAATCGATCACAGGCTCAGACTCATGGATCTCGAGGTGTGTCAGCGCAAGGTCTTTGGGAGGCAGCGCGCGCCCCCGCACATAGCCGCGCCTCTGGCATCTCAGCCCATGGCAGACGAGGCGAACGAGGCGCGGAAACGAGTACACAAGCCGCGCAAACACAATCAACGACGGAAACTCGACGCCCGAGAGGACGAGACGGGTTACGTTCGGAAATGCCATCCGCAGGAGAGCAAAGACGTCCGCGTGGAATGCCCCTGCCGTCAAATTTGTGTCGTAAGGGTGATTTCCTATCGTTAGGGTCTCTACGGACGGGTTTGGTCGCCTCACCACGAATCCAGTCGGCTGCCTGAAGGTTATCGCTTTCGCCAGGTTCGCTACCATCGTCTTCGCCACCCGGTGTCCGTGTTTCCTCCCGACGACGACATTCCGCGCCAGATGCCATAGACACCTCGGTGCCCATCGCCTGCAAACAAGCGCGCAACGCCGCAGCGTGTACAGCTCTTCGTCCTGCGCCAGCAGATCAAACACTTGCCCCCACACCTCAATCGGCAGGTCCTTAGCACGCCTGGACATTTTCTCTATCTTTGATTTCTCCTTGATTCCCATTTTTCTGAAAACGCCCGACTCCCGCCGGTCTATATCTATAACGGCAGTCACGAGGTTGTCACTTTGGGTACATTGTGGATACGTTTACAAGTGACACTTACGTTGACCCACATCTGTTATGCGTTCATTCTGTTTTGGCCGTCGAGTAGAATCTTCATCCCGATAGTGCTTTCCCTTTCGCAAGTGTGACTGCCGGGGAGTCATGAAGATAATGAGGAAGCTAGTACTATTAAGTACTTAGTTAATTCTCCACCTCTATTGCAGGACTCAGGATGAAAGATTTTCCAACTCCGCTACGGCGAGGCTCGGCAAGGTGACAGAGGTATGACTTTTAGGCCTTATCATGCAGAATTGACGATGTGAACAACCACTTGTCAGATTCTCATTGTTTGACCTCGAGGCTATAGCTATTGCAGTAAAACTGCACTGCATCAAGTATGGACTG